TAGCTTGATCTCTCTTTCGCCATTCACTTTGATCTTTTAAGTAGTAGGTATGAATCCATTTAATCCATTACTTGTCTTCTTTGTTTGCCAAGTCCCAACAGAGTTTAGCTACTGCTGCTCTATTCCATATTTCCATATTTATCAACCCCATGCCACCTTTACTTTTAGGCCTGCAAACTTGTTCCCATGCTATTAAAGCCTTCTTAGTAACATGTCCAGCCCCTGACCACAAGTAGCTTCTACACAACCCCTCAATCAGCTTGATTATCTTAGCTAGAAAGATGAAAAATTGTGCCCAATAGGATTGAACACCAAATAACACTGTCTGCACCAGTTGAGCTCTCCATGTATAAGATAGTTTCCTAGCTGTCCAAGAATTGATTCTTGCCATTATTCTATCAATAAGTGGATGCCATTGCAGAAACTGACATTTTTTTAGTTGATAAAGGAACTGCAAGATATTTGAAAGGCAATTCTTCCATGTTCTATCCCAGCTGCTGTACTATCTGTTGTCTCACTTCTCTTTATACACCTCCACAGTATATAGAACTCTTGTTAAGGTTAGCCTGCAGCCCTGAAACTTGGGAAAAATGAGAGAAACATGATTGAATGGCTTTGACAGACTCAAGATCACCTCTAGCAAACAATAACAGGTCATCTGCAAAACATAGATGAGTAACATCAAGCTTTGAACACTTAGGATGATACTTGAACTGTTTGTCATCTCTAAGTCCTTTAAGGGTCCTACTTAGATACTCCATTGCTATAGCAAATAGAAAAGGAGACATTGGATCTCCTTGTCTCAACCCTTTAGCTGCTTCAAAACTTTGTGAAACCTAACCATTAACTACTATAAAGTAGTTCACAATTTTGACACATTTTATTACCCATTGCACAAACATCTCAGGAAATCCTAAACCATACATTACTTGCTCTAAAAAGGTCCATTCTACTATATCATAAGCCTTCTGCAAATCAATCTTCAGCATGCACCAAGGAGAGATATGTTTCCTAGTATAGGCCCTAACCAACTCATGAGCAAGCACTACATTATCAGAGATTTTCCTTCCTGGGCTAACACTTTGAATTAATCCATGCAGTCTATTAGTTAAGATTTTGGAGATGATTTATAAACCACAGTACAACAAGCTATTGGCCTGTATTCTTTCACTGATTTAGGATTCTGAACTTTTGGGATAAGAGACACTAGAGTACAATTAAAAGCCTTGTATAGTTTGCCTTTTGTGAAAGAACTCTGCACAGCTTCAATGATATCCTTTTTAATGACCTGCCATGTATACTTAAAGAAGTAGGCATTGTACCCATCTACACCTGGAGCCTTATCATTCCCAATTGATTTCAAACCTTCATATATCTCCTGTTCTGTAACCTCAGCACAAAGATGTATCCTCTGCAGCTTTGTTAGTGTAGGCCCTCTCTTCATCACTTGAGCATTAATGCCTGGTAGATTGTCTGTTGAGGTTCCCATAAGACTCTTGTAAAAACTCACAAACTTCTCATGAATATCACTCTAATCATATAGCATTTTACCCTTCAAGGACATAATATTCCTTATTTGTTTCTTTTTAGTTCTCTCCTTTATAATTGAGTTGAAGAATTTGTTGTTGGCATCCCCTAATTGAATCCATTTTATTCTTGCTTTCTGCCTCAAAGCACTTTCTTCAACCATTGACCATTTTTCCAGCTTGATTAATAGTTCTTTTTCCATCCCAACCAGCTCATCAGTAACCTTCTCTTTAAGCTGATCTTGGACATTTGCAATTTCCACTCTAGCCATCTCAATCTGTTTCCCAACATATTTAAACTCATTGTTATTCAACTGAGTTAAAACTAGTTGAAGGTTCTTCAATTTCCACCACACTTGTTTCATTTTGCTATTCCCATAATCTTTTCTCCATACTTCCTATACCTTATCCATGAAGCTGTCATGTTCAATCCATACATTAAAAAATTTAAAGCCGACTTTCCCATACTAGTGAGCTTTTTGAAGTGTTATCATCATAGGTATATGATCAGATATATTTGGATTCCCATACTCAGTAATGACATGTCCCCATTTATCCATCCATTCATCATTCCCAAATACTCTATCAATTCTACTTGCAATTCTATCTTCTCCACACTGTTTATTATTCCAAGTATAATAGTTCCCTTTCCATTGTAGTTTAGTAATCTCCATATCTCTCACACAGTCACCAAAGTCTTGTATTTCATTCCTAGTAACTTGCCCTCCATTTAACCTATCCTTAGTAGAGAGAATAGCATTAAAATCCCCTGCAATGAGCCAAGGCTGAGTGACACCTTGTGAGATTGTTTTCATTTCCTGCCATAAACTTTTTCTCTGCTCCACAGTATTAAAACCATACACTATAGTTACTATAAACTGATAATTTTTGCTCCTGTCATTAACTTGACAATGCAGTAATTGAGCTGAACTTGTAATCATCCTAACCTCATACCAATTATCATCCCATACCATCTAGATTCTTCCATTAGGACTAGAATTATAGTTATTAATCATCTTCCACCCAGGCACTATACCATTAAGAACTGTTTTCATATTTTTCTCTTTAAACCTTGTTTGAATTAATCCTGCCATACTGACTTTATTTTGAAGCAACAACAGCTTGATCTCCTTCTGCTTATACCTCTTATTCATGCCTCTCACATTCCAGAAAAACCACTTCATCAACAAGTCTTTGGGACTCCACCTCTATCAACAGTAAGTGAAGTCATTTTCTTATGCATGAGACTCTCAAAGCCATTCCTTGTTGGTATAGCTTTCAACATTGGAAAATTTGCCAAACTCAGGTCCAGCTGTCCATCAACATTAGTCTGGCTATCATTCTTTGGTGTTTGTTGATCTAACTTCTGCACTATCTCCTGTTCCTTCTCTTGTTGTTCTTCCTGTGGTCTTCTATTGGGCTCTTGCCTTTGTTCCTCCACCTTTTCTTGCTCCGTTGATTGAATAATTAGACCTTTATATTGCCAGGTTTGAGTTACTTTTTTCCAAGGCCTTCTTCTCTTTGGTATCTCTTATTTGGCTGCTTGTTCCATCTTACACACATGCCCTATCTTCTGGCACTTATCACAGTATTGAGGCCTCCATTCTAGCTCCACATCTTGCATAAAGGTCTTCCCATTTGAATCCACTACTGTTATCTTCTGAGGTATAGCTTTTGTGACATTCACTTCCACAAGCATTCTAGCATATGATATTCTAGTTTGCTTAGTGGTGCATTCATCAGCAAATAGGGGGACTCCTATAGCACTTGCAATCCTGCTCAACGATCCCACACCCCAGCAGTTTAGAGGCAATTTTTGGAAGTTCACCCATAATGGAATCTCTGTTAGGAATTCATTTCCTAGATCAAACTCAGGATATTATCTGAAAATGATTTTGCCCCTTATAGGGATAATTATAAATTTATGCATATTTGCCTTGTTCAAGTTGCTTTTAAACCTCTTACTTTAAGAGGTCTACCGGAAAGCTTTATAGCAGCTTTAAGAGATGGTAGAAACCAAAATTGGAAGAAGTCTTTAATAGGGACGGTGCAAACCAGCTTGGCCTATGACCCTGTTTATTTTAATGCTTATCCTAATTTGCAGATATCTTTAAGTGATGAAAACTCTTTAAATACTTTAATATTAAGTATTAAATTACATGGCTATGATTATTTACCTGGAATTGAAGTTATATGTATTTGTTATAGAATCTATTATAAACCACTCTATACTTTAAATCCTATGTGTAAAATTATGGATCTAAAAAATGAGACTATTTTAATAGAAACTAATATTAGTAGATCTAAAGTTATTACTAGACGACCTATTAAATGGGATGAAATTGATTTTCCTAAAGAATTGATTATAGAAGAAGCCGTTGCTCCTAGAAATAATATGAATTTTGATATTTTTGATATTGAACAGGCTCCTGATGGAACGGTAAAAATAAAATTTACGGATCAAAACCTGTTAATGAGCTATACCGATAATATCGGACTGCAGGCAAGAATGCCTAGATCTAATTATTCTTATATTTCTCCAGCTGATTATGTGGTTAATATACCCTCCAGAGCTTCTACATCTCAAATAAGAGATGAAGAAAACTCTAGATCTTCTACCTTTGATATAAAGGAAAATGAACGAATTGATAATATCAAAATAGAAAATCATATTGTTACTCCTGATATGGATGAACCCACTCTCTCTGATATAAATTTTCCAAATGGTTTTGATGGATCAAAAAGACAGACTTGATTTTAGACCGGGATCTCCGGTAAGAGAAAAGATTTCAAATGAATTCTTTGAACCTAAATGGAAACTTTTTAGAGAATGGTTCTTTAAAAATTTTGATAAAAACCAAAGGACATTTTTACAAGATGATTTTTATAAAGATCTTTCTCAAGCCAATAAGATTATTGCTTTTATTCCTTGGTTTATGACTAAATATATTTATAAATATATTTGTATGCTTGAAAGAGATTACAAACTGGCTGATGAGTCTATTACTAAATCAATCTTGCCTCCCCAACAGTCTTTTCAAATTGAAAAAAATAATAAAATTGTTCATTTTACAGCTTTTGCAGAATTATTTAATGATGATACTGCTTTAATAACTGCTAAACATGTTAAAATTCTTATACAGCAAAATAATTATACAAATGTTTATATGAGCATTTTAGGAGAACATATTCTTTCTTTACATGATAAAATCAATCATATCTGTTCTACTATTGAAAAATCTAAAGCCTCTGATAAAGGCAAAGAAAAAGCTTCTGCAAGTATCCAGCCTCCACCTGAAATCAAAGATTTTAAATTATCAAAACTTGATAATATTGAGAGATAGCTTGAAGAGAAATATAAAAAAGATCTAGAACTTAGTCCTCTTAATATAGGGGAAATGATAATAATACTTCTAAAAAGAGTAATACTCTTGATGAGATTAATAAAATCTCAGAAAAACATGCTAGAAAACCGGTCCAAAGGATGTACTATTATCTTAGACCAACTCTTCAAGATATACTCTTGGAAGAACAAGAATTTATTGTGTCTAATAGTTTCAGTGGTACTGAGATTTACTAATGGAATATTGATGGTTTCACTGATAGACAAATTTATACACTGGCTCATAGAATTCTTATGTATAGCACTATATGCAAAGCTAATAAGAATTCAGAACAAAATACAGCAAGTATGGTTATTGCTGGATTTACAGGACAATTAAAAGGATGGTGGGATAATTATCTCACAGAAGAACAGAGGATGACAATTCTGAATGTCGTAAAACAAGAAAATGGTAATCCAACTCGAAATATAGTTTATACACTAGTTCTAACCATCATAGAGCATTTCTCTGGAAGATGGTTAGATAATAGTGAGACAATTAGGACTCTTTTACAAAATCTTAAGTGTAGATTTCTCACTAATTGGAGATGGTACAAGGACATATTTCTGTCCAGAGTAATGGAATTACCAGAATGTAATAGTTCTCATTGGAAATCCAAATTCATAGATGGACTTCCAAACTTATTCGCTGAAAGAATTAAGAAAGTTCTTAGAGGGAATGAGGTTAATATTAAGTATGAGGATTATACTTATGGAAAGCTTATTAGCGCTGTAGTCCAAGAAGGGCTAGCTTTATGCAATGAAATACAGATGAATCAACAAATTAAGAGGTATCATATAAATGAAAAATAGCAATTAGGAGAATTCTGTGAACAATTTGCTATTGATATGCCAGAATCCTCAAAAAGATCCTCTAAAAAGAAGAAAGATAAGGACTATACAGACAGGCCTTATAAATCTCATAGGAAAAAGAAACGTTTGGATAAACGTGAGAAAAGGAAATCCAGTAGATCTGACAAAAAATCTTTTAGGCATAATTCGGATGCTTGCTACAAATGTGGAAGGGTAGGCCACTATGCCAGAGATTGTAAGGTAAAGGACAAAATTAAGAGTCTTAATTTGGATGATAATATCAAGGATTCATTGTGTAAAATCCTGTTAAACTCTTCACCTGAGGGATCAGGCCCTGATGATAGTGGGGGAGAAGAATCTTATACTAGTGAGGATTTAAGGGTTCTTCATGATGAAAGTTATATCTCTTCATCAGATAGAGAATGTACGCCTTGTAAGAAGGGAGAAACTTGTGAAGATGAGCAGAATACAGATGAGTTTTATAAACTCTATTCTCAATTCAAAGATCTTAATATCAATGTTATAAGCAGTGATGATTGGATTGAGATGATCAAACTAATAGATGATCCTATAATAAGATCTCAAATTATTGACAAAATGGGAAGCACTTTGACTAATAAAGAAGAGTCTCCTAGAAAAGAAGTTCAGACCGAGAATACTACTTATACAATGGCTGAATTAAAGAGACAACTTCATAAGAGGTCTCAAAGGAATAATATTCCAACTACAATTCAAGATTTATCTGAAAAGGTTAATAACCTTAAGAAAGAAATTAATGATTTAAAAAATGAGAATATTATTCTTGATAAAAGAATCACATTTGTTGAGAATATTAATAGTACTCAAAAAGATAAGCAGGATGCTGATGATTCTTTCAATTCTCTTAATAATTTAACTCCTGAAGATTTTACAGAAGAAAATAAAAAATCTTTTCTAAAAACTATTGAGTTAATTACAGCTCATAAACCTCTTGCAAAAATTTCTATAGTCATTGATTATAATTTGAAAAAAGATTTTATTGCTCTTATTGATAGTGGAGCTGATTTAAATTGTATCCAAGAAGGATTAATCCCTTCAAAATATTTCGAAAAGACTACTCATATTTTAAGAAATGCTAGTGGTCACAAAATGTATATTGATTATAAAATTCCTAAAGCTTATATTTGTACGAATAATGTTTGTATCCCTGAAAGTTTTGTTTTAATAAAAAACATTTCAAATGAAATTATTCTTGGAATGCCTTTCTTTTGGAAAATCTATCCAATTACTTCTTGGAATCATACTGGTATTACTGGGAATTTTGAAGGAAAAAGGATTAGGATTGATTTTATATCTCCACCTTATTCCAAATTCATAAATGAAGTTAAAGATTTAATTTCTTTAAAAAACAAACAAATAGGCTTTTTGAAAAATGAAATTTGTAGTATTACTATTGAAAAGACTTTACAAAATCCAAAATTACAAGATAAAATTGAATATTTAAAAAATCAATTTTCTTTACAAATTTGTGGTGATCACCCGAATGTTTTCTGGGAAAGAAAAAAATATATTGTTAGTCTCCCATATGAAGAAGATTTCTCAGAAGATTATATTCCTACTAAGGCAAGACCTTGCCAAATGAATTCAGATTACTTAGAATTATGAAAGAATGAGATTAATAGTCTCTTACAAAAAGGTTTAATAAGACCTTCAAAGTCACCATGGTCTTGTACGGCTTTTTATGTTAATAAACATGCAGAACAAGAAAGAGGAGTTCTTAGACTCGTTATAAATTATAAA